AGCAACAAATGTCCCTAAGGTAGCCACAAGAAAGCCAGGAAGAGACCACCAGCCCGAAAGCAGACAGCTAAGGAGCACCAGGGAGACTGATCCAACCGCCGGTGCTGCAGCAGAGCTATGAAGAGCTTTTTGCTGCGGCACAGCAGAGCCCTGTGAAACCGCAGCCCTGGCAGGCACAAGGAGCGCTGGAGCTGAGTGCTCCTCCACGCAGCCACAGCCGGAACTGTGTGTCCCTCCGCCAGACGGGCGGGGGGAGCCTTCGGCTGACCCCAGCCTGGCTCCGCTCCTGTCCCCACAGGCACTCACCACGCCATTCTCAACACAGAAGCCCAGCTGGTACTTGGAGTCGGGGCGCCGGATGACAGCCGTGGTGACAGGGGGACAGTGCACGATGTTCAGCACCACCTCTGTCTGGTGCTTCAGCTCCTGGAAGACAGGATGGGGCCTTGTCAGACTTTGGAGAGCTATTCAGTGCGGTTGAGAGGGGCGAGGCAGCCACGTTGCTCACAGGAGGGCTGAGGATTAGCAACCTGTTTTCAGTAGGGAAACTGAGGCACACGCAGGGATCCTTGAGGTCCCTTCTAACCTGGGATTCTATGATTCTATACTGCCACGCTCAAATTCGGGGAGAACAACTTAGAAATCCAGTCCACGACATCCCACTGCCCACACTGCCTTCAGCTCCTTCCTGCCTGGGAGGTAGAAGATGCTCCCTCCAGGTCAGGTGCCTGCCTGCTCACCCACCCTCCTCCTTGGGCCCTGCCCACATGCTGCCTTAGCAAATTTAGTCCCCAGCTTTGTCCCTGCCCTGTCACATCCCTTCCTCCCAAGCACTCAGAGCAGGGACTGTCACAGCCCACAGGTTGGGTCTGGCCCCCCACACTCTGTGCCCTTTCCCCCCACAACCTCCTACCACCCACCCGTCCCTGAGCTGGGAGCACCAGGGGGGACCCTGACATTCCCAGACACATTCAGGCCGGTCCCCATCTCTGCCAGCACTCGCCCTCCTACCAGGGTGGAGGCAGGGGCCACCGTGGGCACAGCCCTGGCTCACCCGGATGATGCTCTGGCAGGTGGTGAGGGGCAGCCCCACCAGGCTCGTCCCGTTGACGGACATGAGGCGGTCCCCGATGCTCAGCTCGCCCGACCTCTCTGCAGGGCCCCCGTGCATCAGGTTGGCGATGACCACTGTGGGCAGGATGGAGCCCCAGCCCGACTCCACGATGGCGATGCCCAGGATCTCCCCCTTCTGCTTCCGGATGCAGACCTGGGAGCAGGGCACAGATGGGTTACGGTCACTGGAGTCATGGGGCACATCCCAGCACGGGTGTCCTGGGCTCACAGCCAGCTGGGATGGGGCCCAGTTTTGTAGGGAGCACCCTGCTCAGGGAGCTGTAGAGGGGACACAGAGGTGCCAGCGGGTACCTCACACTGTCCCCACCCCTCCAAAGCAGCTCTTACGTCCTTGCAGTTCTCCTGCCGGGAGAAGTGGGTCAGCTCCGCATTGTATTGCTCCTGGTCCTCGAGGGCACGGCTGTACTGGCGAGGGCTCAGCTCGCTCGGGTCGATGCTGTTGGCCTCCAGGAAGCGCTGGTAGGCCACGCCAAACGCCTGCCCGATAGCCTGAGCGATGATCTGGGCCTGGGGAAAGAGAGGGCTGGTTCGTGTCCATGGCTCAGGGCCAACGGTCTCATGGCCAAACTGGAGCCAACAGCTGCCGGTGCCCTGCGATGCCCAGCACAGGCGCTGTGCCCTGGGTGCTCCAGGGCATCCTGGCTCCTTCCCTGCCTGAATGGGCCCCTTTACGGTGCCAATCCTTCCCCCTTTCCTTGCCAGGCTCCTCTGTGTTGCGCAGGTGCTCAGGCCGGGTTCCTTCCCCCGCTGTGTGCTCATCGGGAGCCCCCAGCACAGAGACCCAAAGTACCCGGTCATTAGAGCAGGCTGGGGCCCAGGACCCCAACGCCACCCCGCCCTCCCGAGGGACTCGCGTGTCGCCTCACATCGGCCGAATGGAAGACGTGACAGATCATCTTGTAGAGCCGCTTTTCCTCCACCACCTCTGACCGTCGAGGCAGTTTCCGGCGCGCCATGAGCACCACGAGGGAGCCGATGTCAGCAATGTAGGAGATGGTCTGGAGGGAGTGATCCATCATGGCCTCCTGGCAAGGGGGACACAGGCAGAGACGTTCAGCCCTCCCTGACCCTGTGGGCAGCCCGTGAGCCAGCCAGGCACCGCTACAGGCAGGAAGGGTTTGGGTTCGGGTTCAAATGCCACAGTGCTGGGATGCTGCTCAAATGCCTGGCACGCACTGGGCAGAAACCACATCCACACTAAAAGGTACAAACAGCTCTTTCGATCGAGGACTCATCCGTGTCTCTGGGCACTGCCAGGGGACAAGACAGCTCTTCCCTCTTACTATAAAGCAGAAACTAATCTTGAGGCAAAGAGCTACAGAAATTTCAAGCCTGGGTTCCCTGGAGCTTGTCTGGGAACACAGCAGCTCCCGCGAGGCGCAGTTTGCATGTGACGC